TCTGTGGATCCCCCCTCTCCCTGTGCTGCCTCGCGTGGATCTGTGGCTACCCACTCTCCCTGCGCTGACTCACATGGATCTGTGGGTGCCCACCTTCCCTGTGCTGACTCAACATGGATCTGTGGACACCCGCTCTCCCTGCACTGACTCACATGGATCTGTGGGTGCTCACCCTTCCTGCGCTGACTCACATGGATCTGTGGACACCCGCTCTCCCTGCACTGACTCACATGGATCTGTGGATCTGTGGACACCTGCTCTCCCTGCACTGACTCACGTGGATCTGTGGACAGATTCTCTCCCTGTTCTGACTCACTAGGTCTGTGGATACCCACACTCCCTGCACTGATTTGCGTGGATCTATGGACACCCACTCTCCCTGCACTGATTCACATGGATCTGTGGATCTGTGGGCGCCTGCCCTCCCTGCACTGACTTGTGTGGATCTGTGGATAGATGCTCTCCCTGTGCTGACTCACTAGATCTATGGACACCCGCCCTCCTTGCACTGACTCGCATGGATCTATTGACGCCTGCTCTCCCTGCACTGACTCATGTGGATCTGTGGCTCTGTGGGTGCCCACCCTCCCTGCAGTGACTTGTGTGGATCTGGAGACAGATGCTCTCCTTGTGCTGACTCACTAGGTCTGTGGACACCCACCCTCCCTGTACTGATTCATGTGGATCTGTAGACACCCGCCCTCCCTGCACTGACTCGCATGAGCCTGTGGACACCTGCCCTCTCTGCACTGACTCGTGTGGGTCTGTGGATCTGTGGACACCCGCCCTCCCTGCACTGACTCGTGTGGGCCTGTGGATCTGTGGACACCCGCTCTCCCTGCACTGACTCGTGTGGGCCTGTGGATCTGTGGACACCTGCCCTCCCTGCACTGACTCGCGTGGGCCTGTGGATCTGTGGGCACCCGCTCTCCCTGCACTGACTCGCATGGGTCTGTGGATGGCTATTTCCCAGGCCTTCCCTATCTGTAAAATGGCTTGAACAGACTAGATCAGCAGTTTAAATATTTTCATAAACTAGAACTTTCACGACAGTCTGCAGAAGCTATGGCTCCACTCTCCAGAAAATAATGCAGGCATGGCCACCTCAGGGTCACACCCCTGCAGTCCATCTTTGAGTGTCCTGGATGTTTGTGGTCTCACTTTGAATCTCTGGCTGGGCCATCCCTAAGAGCCCTTTCACCTTACAAACAAAACATCGCCATACTCTGAAAATGTGAGCTGATCACGCTTTTAAATCCACTCTCACCCCATAACCTGTTCGGCAAACAGCCTATAAACAGTGGCATTTGATGGCCTAGGAATGACAAACAATTCCAGAAGATTTGGTTTTTATGGTCATTTAAAACTGTCCTCTGACCTGGGCCGGGCAGACCTGGCTGGGACGATGCCACTGTCCACCGGCTGGTGCTGGACACGAACGCCGCGCTGGAGATGAGGCGCTTCGGGGGCCCCGCGTAGTCCACCACCTCGTACTGGCCAGGGCCTGGGAGAGGCGGTTTCGGAGGTAGAGGCGAGGGCTGTGCGGAGAAGTTCAGGATGGGATTTTTCCTTCAGAAAACACAAAACATGAAGATGTGACTAGAGTCCATTGGGGAAGTGCCAGGTTTGGACACATCAAGCCAGCAAAGCACCGAGTGGTTTCAAGAGGACCAGACGTGGCATCGGGGGACTCGGGCAGGCCAGTGAGCCGACAGCCCCTGGACCTTGGTATCCGCATCCGCACAACGACTGTCACCATAGAATCTGCCCTTCAGGCTTGTCGTCCCGGTTAAGGGGGACGAGGCACCTAAACACAGTACTCAGGACAAGGCCAGACCGCGTGAGCTCAGCCTGCACTGTCACAGTGACCTGTGGCTGAGCTAGTCCGGAGCAGCAGCAGCATTTGGCTCAGTGCCAGCTCCAATCGACTGGTCGTGCCTGGCTGGAGCTCCGTGAAGACACCGAGGCCTTGCATGGGCTCAATGGGAGGAGGCCTCGGCGATCCACTGGTGCTGTCTGCCATGACCAGGGAAAGGGAAGAAGCAGCCTACATCCTAGGGAACTGCCCTGGCAAGGCTGGCAGGTGTCCAGAGGGCATTCCCGCAATGACAGCCCAGAATCCTCCTAAATGCCTTGTGGTGAAGCAGGATGGAGTGGAAAAGCACTGGGTTGGAAATCAAGAGGCCTCCACTGACACCACTTGCACTGTA